GGGTCGTAAAAAGTATTAAAAGTTGATAAATCAATTTAGAGAAAATTAAGGCCCTTAAAAGTATTAAAAACTCCACAGTTTACTAAACGGTGGCAACCTCTTTAAGTTATTCACTGTGTTGTATTGACTGCTTTGATGCGTTTCAATACGGTAGGGCATTGTTTTGATGCTTACATCCGAAAAATTATATTTTGCTTTTATTTATTTATTTTGCTTTTTTTTTCTTGTCCCCCCTGACTCAAGAGTCAAATGTCGGCCATGTATGTATATATATATATATATATATATTTTTTTTTAAACAGTGGTTTTCAATCCTGGTCCTTAATTCCAATATTTTTACTCTCTCCGTTAAGTCCCCTGCAAAGCATGCTGGGAACTAGTAGCCAGTTTGTATTCTGCATATCAGCACACTGGTGTCAAGTGGAATACAATTTAAACAAAATAATTTATTTTAATTTATTCTATGGGGAGTGTTATTTGCTTTTTTCCAAACTAAACGTAATAGGTTTAAATCTAACCTATTAAACCTTTAAACCGGAAATCATGATTTTCGATTAGACCAATATAGAATGTACTTTAAATAAATTAGACAGTCGTTTTCATTTTTTCAGTGCAGTACAGTTGGCACTGCTGCATCTTTCACCAAAGGTTTATTTGCAAACTGTACATTAAATTGTCTGTGTTTTAAAAAACAATCTGCAGTAAAATGCTTTGAACAAACATATAGTCATCCGACAGCATGATTCGTGAATTTAGCTGCGTTCATGCCATGTCGTAATTACCGTAATTCCGAGATGACAACACGCGACGTTTTACTCGGAGCTGTCCATGTCCTCGGAATCGGAGGTAGAGCCTAAGCAGCGCCTAAATTAATCTTGTTGCGGTCAGGTGGTACAGCGGTTATGTGGTCCAATTCGTAGCACTCAGAACACTCCGAGCTTACAAATTGTAATTACGAGTTCTGCGTTCATGTGAACGCTTTGGCGTTGATAGTGTTGCCATAGAAATGCATAATTCAGCTTCATGTGTTGTCATCTCAAAATTACGATAATTACGACATAGCATGAACACAGCAATTGTTAAAAAATAAATGATCACTTTGTTCCTAATGAAGGGGTTTTTGGGAAGGCTGTGCAGACACAGATATGCTGTCCTAACTGGACTCGTCACAGTGAACATTCCAAATAGATCGCTTTTTTCCATCATCCATTTGTCATTTTGACAAGAAAAGCAACTTTTCATCAAAACATTGGATGGGTCAGATAATAGAGACATCAGGAACGTGTACTGTTGATGCATCCAGGGACAGGGCTGGGAAACACTGCTTTAGACTCATTAGTCTGAGAACTTTGTCTATTCTCACTGAATTTCTATACCCAATCCCAGTCCAGCATTTGCCATTTGGGGATTCCAGCATCAGCTGCAGTTGCCTTCAAAGCACATGTTCTCAATCTGGAATTACAGTGGAACATAAAATTGACCAATTTATGAAGAAAATATGCAACAGAGGTGCACTCATTCCAATAGTCTAGCCCAATAGTTTCCGAAATAGCAGCTAATTTTGTATTGATATTCTTCTGTAGGTTCATTTCTATTTGAATTGCATTAACGTTTAACAATATTCCTTTTTGGAAATTCATTTTAGCAAATTGCTTCTTTGAAATATTTGACCCTTGTGTGTTTGGTACAGTACCTCCTCTATTTAAATTTTCCATGATTCACATGCATAGGACAATGATTTGGAAATTTGAGGGATGAATGGATGATGAAAAACTGTGATGGCTTGCATGAGTCCAAACTGAGTTTCAGCCCATGATTTTTTGGGCTCATCTCAACATTGTTTAGTTGTGAAGTAGTACACTTGTTAAGAAGACAGAGAAGCTGTAGGAATTATGAGTGGTATAACAACAGCTGGAGGTTCCTCCTTGCTCTGAATATTGTGAGTAACTCATTCACACAGTTTTTCCACAAAAGAGAAACTAAAACAGAAGCACAGACAGACATGATGCACAGTGAACAGGATCCCGCGGGGAACGACAGCATGCTGTAGAAACAGTGAGGCTTGATCTCATTACTACTGAAGCGCACTGCATGACCTCTCTTCCTGACTGATACTGGCATTTCAATACGGAGTAAAGCTCTTACATATCAAGCTAAACTCTTTATTATTACATAGCATCAAGTTAAACACAATATTGCTATGAAATACATGCCTTATAATCAATTGACATATGACTTAAATCAATAATGTCAGCAAATTTCAAATGAGGCCAACACTAGAGTTCAGGAGCTTTTCAAGAAAGGCCTTTTTTCATGATAGACTCATAAGTATATTTCAAAGGCGTTTCCGGTTATGTCCAGCGGTGAGATCAGTGTATGATGCAGGTTTCGTGATGACGAGTTGTGCAGCATTTTTGCAGTAGAACATTATCTGCTTTATGGTAAATCCTTCTTTCTTTTTTTGTAATATGTGACTATAATATTGGCTAAAAGGGGGATACTTCATGAAGCCAAACACATGAGACTACAAGAATTTTCATGAATAAATCGGTGATATTTCATATAATTTATCAAACTGTACACACTGAACCATATGGCAAGCTGAGTTAGTTTAATGCTCCAGTACTAGCCGTAATTCAGTTTTAACTACTCAAAACCACCCTGATAATTCAGAAGGTACAAAAGGATACATAGGATGAATCAGAGTTTATAGTAAGTGGCCTGTCCAGAAAGCATGACATTGAATAGTGTCATACACACGAAGACAAAATACCATCAGGATGACACACAACACTAAAATAATGCAATAAACACAAACGGAATAACAATAACATAACAAATTGCACATTACTGATAACACCTTGACTTTTGCCTGTGATTTTGTCAGTAGGAATGAATGAACCTGCCTGCAGTGTTTGATCTAGTAGCGAATACTTTATGTGTGTTTTTTGCATGAATTTTAAGTAAAGTTTTGGCTCTTCACGTGTTTAATTTCAGTACTGTAAATGTATCCTTCCCTGCAGCCAGTTACACTGGATATATTTGCTGAATATGTTTATTATTTTGTGAATAGTAATATTAACAATAATAGCCTACTTCCGGATGGGAAAGAGGTATATATCAGTTTGGTTTTGCATATGATTAATATGAATTTCTGACTAGAATCAATTCAACTGCAGATATATGTGATGTAAATAATACGTATTTTAATAAAATACCATTTTTATTAGTCAAGCATATTTGGATATGAGTTGTAAATCCATTATTTAGATAATATTTGTAAATGATAACTGCAATAGTAAGAATACATGTGTTGATATCTGCAACTCAATTTTGACTATATAATCCAGTTATTACTAATAAAATGTAATTATGACCTGTCAAAAAGGGAAAACCAAGTGTCTTTGCAATTCTTTCTAGTTGAAATTGACTAGTCAAAACTAATTATGAGGGATCAACTTGTCATACAGATATGTAATGTTAATATGTAAGGTTAATGGATGTAATGTTGTTAAAGTTAACTCACCCACCAAATTAGATCTGGACAATTCAATTTCAAGAATTGCAATCAGTTGTAATATTCTTATTAGTAGCTTTAAAAAAAACATGAAAAACACACAGCCAGTTTTTAATATTTGTTAATATTGTTGGAATGCAACAACATGGAAGAGCAACAACATTTTAAGATAAAGAGGGCCTGCTTTGGGTTTCAGTTTTGAGGATTTACATTTGATATTTAGTAACTATGGGTGCTGATGTGAAGTCATGGGCATCGTATGATGGTATAGATCACTGTGAAATTGATCAAGCAGTGGAGATCGTGGTTGGTAGATGTGGAAAAACCCAGGGCTGTGATGATGAGAAGCTGGTAGTGTTGGATGCAGAGTGCTTTTAAAACGGCCTTTTACCTGCATTGGTAATGTGACATATTTATTATTATTATTATTTCGAAACCATCGAGCATTTAGAGCATCAACAATTTTGTCTGAAAGGGAAAAAAATCATTAGTGAGTTACTACGACAGCTTGTTTTTTAAGGTTGTCAGGGTAACACTTATTCTCAGGTTGATGAAATCAAATCCAGTTTATTTAACAAATAAAAAAGAAAATGCAGAATAAAAAAAAAAGACTCGATTTAAACTAGACGCAAAATGATATGACATGAAATGGATCAATTTGATCAAGCTGGTAACATTAAAAAAGATGGGCAGTGATAAAGGACACATGATGGTCATAAATATAAGGGAAACTAATGCTCCAACAGCAGACAATCAAGACAGGACAAGACAATAAACCAATGAAGAACAAAAAGATAAAAGCACATGACAAAATAAAAGGCATGAATCAAAATGAAGCAATAACAAAACCTGAACCCACGTGACAGTCAGAAAGCAGATTACAATCCTAATGAAAAATGTAAGCAAGCATCTGTTCAGGAGATCCCCCTCACAATGTAAAGAGCTTTGTGTGTCTAGAAAAGTGCTATATACATGCAACAAATGATCATTTATGTTATTAAGCATATTTGAAGTGTTTCAAGTTTCGGTTTAGAGGGCAATAGCAATGCAGCGCTTGAGCAGCAGATTGAGCGGTGTGGTGACCTAGTTAAACAGTGCTTTATTCATCACATTAAATCAGTCTTTTGTCAGACACAGGCATGGTCATAATAAAACCACATTGTTCCAGAGTGACAATGCAGGCCTTTTCTGTTGTGCATGTTCTGATCCGCTGCATCTTCAGGAGTCTGATCACAGGCAGTGTCTTACGTATAACCTTCATCAGCTCTTTCAAATGAAAGGTTGCTTATTAATGATGCATGACTTCTTCAGCAGAAGCGCTGAAGTCATTGAAGAGTAGAAAATAATGTTCTTCATTTTAGTGGTCTGTATTTTTTAGAACTTTAAAGGAATGCTATTTAATAAATACAAGTTAAATTTAAGCATGGCATATTAAATATATATACTGTACATAACACCAGACAATTTCTGTCTCTCTCCACAGAGTCTCAGCCGAGCACTGATAAAAGAAATAATGCTACTGGATCAGCTGCGAAACTATCAGAGGAACACTGTTAAACTTCAATACAGGAATATACAGAACAAATACAAGACGATCTCACTAACTGGAGCAGTTCCTTCGGTTTGAATACTGGATGTAAATCTTTGACTTCGCCTCAGAAGACTAGAGGACCCTGCAGGATAAGCATCCACATGCCACTGAGAGGAACAGAGACACGGGAGGATGTCAACAGAGGCAGAACTTCAAGTCAGTGTCAAGAAGGAGTCCAGAAGACGAGGTCAGTTCAGAAGTTTGGTTTATTGCTTTATTTTTAGCTGAAGGTGCTGATGGCATTAAACATCTGAGCAGCCTGAAGGTCACTACATTAATAAAGAATGAGTAGATATGACTATGTGCTTTTATAGCAATATTGCACATATTAAGAGTTTGTTTAATTGCAAAAATCAGAGTTTACTCCATTAACTTTCTTTAATGTCATTATGCGAACAGTGTGCCTCCACAGTCTTATGTCTTTGATTTCACAATCAAGGCAATTGTTTATTAAGTCTACTAAGGCTCGTTGTATTTCAGTAAGTATCGTAGGATTTCTCATCCTTGATGATTTATCATATCAGGAATTATCAAGATTTGTCTTTTTTTAATTACCATTTTAGACTCTGGCAATATTTACTCACCCTTATGTGGTCATCCGTTTTGGTCAAAACCTAATGTGAAAATATTCACACTGCCCTTTTCTGTACAGTATGACGTGAGCAGGGGCTGTGAGACTCAAAAACCATCGAACAAGGGATGTTGTCTCTGATGAGAGATTCAGTATACCTGTGTTCGGCCTTCACTGCCCATAAATGATAAATGAAATTGCCTCAACCTTGATTTTTTTCCATCTCCATGGCAACTGCTGCTTACCTACAGAAATCCATGTGAAAGCTGATTCAAACACACAGCTGTCATGCAAGCGACACACATATAGTAACCTATGGCAGTTCTGGCCGAATGTCAAACTCGTATTAAATGAGCCACGGCCTCAGGCAACAGAAATATCACTCTGAGTTGAGCACACTGAGACACTTTCATCATATTCACACTTGATGAAGATACCAGATACCAGAACAGAAAGGCCTTTTGACTGCAATCCACCTCAAAAATTAGTAAAACATTTCTTCTTGGAAAAAAATCATTTTTTTTTTTTATTTGGTATTACCATAAAATGTGAAGCACCTTATTAAAAAAAGCAGATGATTTTCACATGTATGTTTAAAAAAGGTATCCAATAATACACAAATATTTTTATTAATTTAGCCAGATTTTATCCAAAGTTCCCTATAAATCACAACCACAAAACAAGTGTTCACACTGCTCTTTTCCATGCAAAGAAAATCCATACAATTATTCTATTTGGTTCCATCTTTTATTTTTACTGACATTTACATGTTTTCTGTAAATCACTTCATATATAAATATATATGAATTTAAAAATCGATATAAATAAGTTATTATAAATCTAAATAAAGCTTTACATACTTAATAAAGCACCAGTTAGTACATTTTGGTCTAAATTTGGACCCAGGTGGATTCCACCCAGATTTTGAATCAGTTATCATGAATGAATATTTTTTTATGGGACTTATTAATATTTATTTATGCAACCAGTCCAGATGTAGACCATGGTCAGTTGGTGACCTCTTCATCCTGAGCAGAGGCTCTCAAACCTTTCAGGCTCCTTTGATTAAATCAAAATATCGAGGTACCACTTAGTGACAACAATCTTCCATTGATTGATTGATTGATTTATTGATTGATTGAACAAATGTAAATTTGTTTGTCATTAGTGGTATAATGCCTAATTTGTCAAATGAATCTCAGACACACAAAGCTATACTAATATTGAAAACACATCTGACATTAGAAATGACTATAACTCCTATTTATCAGTGACATTTTACAATGAGGTCCTATTGGTTAACATTAGTTAATGCATTAGTTAACAACATTAACTAAAAATGAGCAAGACATTTATTTCTGTATTTATTCATCTTTGTTAACGTTAATTACTAATTATTAATTAAAATACAACTGTTCATTGTTAATGTCAGCTCAGGTCTACTAAATAGTTTTAACAGATACAACTTTTGATTTTAATAATGCATTAGCAAATGTTGAAATTAACATTAACTACACTCTGAAAAATGCTGGGTTAAACAACCCAACCGCTGGGTCAAAACAACCCAACCGCTGGGTCAAAACAACGCTGTGTCAAAACAACCCAACCGCTGAGTCAAAACAACGCTGTGTCAAAACAACCCAACTGCTGGGTCAAAACAACGCTGTGTCAAAACAACCCAACCGCTGAGTCAAAACATCCCAACCGCAGGGTCAAAACAACCCAACCGCTGGGTCAAAACAACCCAACCGCTGAGTCAAAACAACCCAAACGCTGAGTCAAACAACCCAACCGCTGAGTCAAAACAACCCAACCGCTGAGTCAAAACAACCCAACCGCTGAGTCAAAACAACCCAACCGCTGAGTCAAAACAACCCAACCGCTGAGTCAAAACAACCCAACCGCTGAGTCAAAACAACCCAACCGCTGAGTCAAAACAACCCAACCGCAGAGTGTATGATTAAGAAATGCTTAAGTTTTTTTTTTCATTGTTAGTTCATGTTGACTAATGTAGTTAACTAAAAAAGAACTAAACATTGATTTTAATAAAGTTTCCTAAAAACATCCTTTTATATGTATACATCCTAACTATCTTAACTTCTCTTGGGAACCCTGTTGTGTGATTCATAATAAACATATTTAATGCAGAACATTCAGCATTGAGGCATATCTGGTCATTTGTCTCCCGGGGGTTGAGAGGTCAGTGAGTTTCTGTGTCAGGACTCCAAAATCTTGACAGATTGGTGCGTCTGGAGACTCTCGTCTTCCTCCTCATATGCTGCCATCTGTCCTGCTCTCACAGAGCTGCTGAACATATGCTCCTCGAGGACATTCACTGAGCTACTTTCATTTCAACCGATCCAAAAGGTTTACGTTGTCATGTGAGAATAGACCAAAATATTGAGAGAAGAATGGCTTTCAGCAAAGCAGTTTCATTCTTCAAACCAGAACACAGTTAAAGCTTTATAATGAATCTCATGCTATTTTTCTTGAAAATAATGTCAGTAAAAAAGTCTTCTTAAAAAACAAGATAATGATCTTAATGCGTCTAAAATAGGCTTCATTTTCTGAGATATGACCTGGGCATTTCTTCATGACATTCACCTGTCTGTTCTAGCTCACGTTTAATTGATGGGTTTTAGTTTCAGTGCTGCACAAATTTAGAGAATAAAATATAAATATAGACTTAAATAGAAAAATAAATTCTTGTCTTGTCCTGGCTTTCTGCACCTTCCTTCCTTCCTGTTTATTCTTTACCTTTACATCTTAAAACAGAACAGTAGAAGAATGTTCAACCCTTGGCTATGTATGAATCTGAAAATGGTGTATTATATAAATATTAATGCAAGAAAATCTGTACATTTTTCTGAAAATACCAAGCTTGACATTTGCATAGCCTCATCAATACTTGGATGAGGATCTGCACAGTGTACTAATTTCTGAATTTTTTTATTTTATTGTAGTTTTTTATGGATATGGGTGGCTGGGAGTTTACTAAATATACATTTTTAGCTTTTTGTGAAAATGATTTTGCAGATCGACCAAAATCATTGCACGCTATAGTCTGCGTCTCAGTTGTGGACGTTTCTTAGAAGAGATAAGGTGCCGTTTTGTCCAGTGCTTCTATGTTTCTGCTCCAAATCATAATTCTTAATTGGACCTGAAGATATTGCAGTAATTATTTCAGTGAAAGCTGAAGTTGGTAACATTTCATTTGTGCATTCATTGCATGCACTTACTGTAGTAATAGAAAACTATGCAACGAACCCTAATCCAACCCTCATCATAACCCTAACCATATAGTAAGTACATGTAGTTCACATTAATATTAGTCAGTACTTAAATGTATAATTACACTGTAACTTGTTAACAGCTTTTTAACTTGTTAAATGTATAATTACACTGTAACAACTTGTTACTTTTTAGTTTTAGTTTTATTTTGTGGTGGAAGCAAAAAAAAACAGAATTGCAAAATGTAAACAGAATTCTGCGGACAAAAAAGTAAGTAAGAATTGTGAGTCATAAACTGCGAGAAAGAAAGTGAGGTTATATCAGACTTCTCAGACAACTGAGACACTTTTTTCTCACATTTTTAAGAAACAAAATTCTGAAATGTGAGAAGCAAAGTCAGAAATATGGGATACAAAGTCACAATTACCTTTTTTATTTTGTGGCCGAAACAGGCTTATGATACGATACGAGGCTCCATTAATGAGTTATACACCTAAGGGTACCATAAACCATAGCAAGTACCACTAATGGCAGTTTAGAGGACAAAGATATGGAAAACACACACATACTTAAAAGTAATCCAAATAATCTAATTGCTTTGATAATTTTATATTTAATTTATATTCATGAACTATGGAATTGCTGTGCTGTATTTTGGAACTCTTACCATACACTGACCTTGTGCATATCTGCAAATATTCCAGCATAACATGCTCTAAGGGTTTATGACTACATGATTTTTCATTGCAGTCTCGCTGCATCTCTCTGTGGTGTTTGCTCAGGTCGGGATCGCAGCGAGCAGGCCCTGATTCAGCGCTTCAGGGGCGACGGCGTCAGTTACAAGGCCAAGCTGATTGGGATTGATGAAGTGACGGCCACACGCGGAGACAAGCTGTGTCAGGACTCCATGATGAAGCTGAAGGTAAAGACAAGAGTCCTCAAAGAGCAGGAGGTGCGGTTGCTTTAGACAAGCTGTGTGCTAGGAGATGAAAGACAGCGGGACGGTGCTTTGTTTGGTACAAATTAAATACAAAGCTAGTGATGTTCTGCATTTGTAAGTCGCTTTGGATAGAAAAAAAAACATATGGTGAATGAAAAAATATAAATGCAAACTAAGGAAAGACACCTCATGGATCTCTTTTTTTCCCTCTGTTGCATTTGAAGTGCATAATGAAGCAGTTAAGTAAAAGTCCATTAGTTATAGAAAATAAGTTTTGATGTGGAATCGAAACAGGAGCTTGAATTATCTCAGTTATTGTGATAACATATGGGACGAAATATGCATGGTTCATGGTTAATGTAAATGTAGATTCAGATTTCTAGATTGATTTTTATTTTTGATTCTTTAGTGTGGTTTGATCTTGTTTAGCCTGAAGAGGGATGGTTTCCAGTAAACTTACTACAAAGCCATGGATTTCTAATATGTGACCCTGGAGCACAAAACCAGTCATAAGTCTACATTTTTTTGAAACTGAGATGTATACATCATCTGAAAGATGAATAAATAAGCTTGCCATTGATGTATGGTTTGTTAGGATCAGACAATATTTGGCTGAGATACAACTATTTGAAAATCTGGAATCTGAGGATGCAAAAAAATCTAAATATTGAGAAAATCATCTTTAAAGTTGTCCAAATGAAGGTCTTAGCAATGCATATTACTAATCAAAAATTAAGTTTTGATATATTTACAGTAGGAAATTTACAAAATATCTTCATGGAACATGATCTTTACTTAATATCCTAATGATTTTTAGCATAAAAAAAAAAATCAAACTTTTGACCCATACAGTGTATTGTTGGCTATTGCTACAAATATACCCCAGCGACTTAAGACTGCTTTTGTGCTGCAGGCTCACAAATATTGAATGTGTTGCTACTAGTTTTTCAGCTGTCAGGAGAGTCCATAAAAGCTTCACTCGTCCCTGTGCTCTCGTGTCAGTGTTGAAATAGGATTTGACAACTAATTAAGAAAAAGCAAGACCGCTGATATATTTCTGCATTCAGAAAGTACTCCTTTATTTATTTCACATAACAAAAAATAAATAAAGAAATGAAGGGGGCTGAACACTTTTTGAATGCATTGTATGTATATATTATTCAGCATTGCTTTGAGAAAGATGTCAAGTTTTCAAACCTGCTTCGAGTGACCATGGAACATGTTTAGAATTTCATTATAGAACAAAAGGCTAATCAAATGAGAAAGACTTGACTCAGCATGATCCCTTTCTTTTTTGCCTTCAGAAGTCTGAGAAAATTAGCAAACTAGACACATCTTTCATGTTTAGAAGTGCTGAATGAGTAACAAAAGTGACCTTACAAATGATGCATATCAGAACAGTTGAGCAAACGTCCTCTATGCAAACTATGCCAGCATATTGCTAATAAAGCGAGACTGTACCTGTACTGCAGACGCTTCCATTCATGCTTGCTTTTAATTCCTCTCATCCTCTTTTTTTCCCCTGCAGGGCATTGCTGCTTCGGCCCGCTCAAAGGGGAACCACAAGCAGAGAATTTTCTTGACTGTGTCTTTTGGTGGAATCAAGATTTATGATGAGAGATCAGGGGTAAGAGTATTCTGGGAGTGTTTCCTAGTTTTATTAGTGTAAATCCTATATATGTGATCCTCGTTGTTGTGTCAGTTAAACACTACTCTGATTCTAAAATGTTTAAATGTTACTAAAATGCAAAAATGTTAAAAAACATTTGTTTTCACCTAAAATATAATATTATTTGAATATAATATATATATAATATAATAAAATATTACTTGAACACTGATTTTTAATATTCTTAGAACGTTAAAATGTCCAGTTTTCTTATTGTAATTGTTATTTAAAGGTTACTAAAATTTTTCTTACAACATTCTACTAACCTTATTTTCACTCAGAGTGTAACGTTTATATAAGTTTTTTTATATTCTAATGTTTTCTCTCAACGTCATAAGAACATGCATCAAGTAAAAATAGCGTTTTTATTGAAAACTTGAAAACCTTTAATTTAACTACTAAAAAAAATGTAAAAATGTAATCTAGCAAATCTATATAGGAATGTTGGGACATTTTGGAAAATGCAATAAAAGCAAGAATCTGTTAAATCTCTTCAACCTTTAGTTAACTGACAAAATTACAAAGAAAAGATTTCCACTGTTTACACTGACCTACTGAATTTTATTTTGTTAATGCAATTTAAAAAAAAAAGTGCTATGCTTGCAACACACTCAAAAACAGCTGGGAAGGAAGGCGTTTAACACTGTGTTGCATCACCTTTCGTTGTATTTATTCTCATTTGGTAAGCGATAATGCTAATTGTTGCAGTTTTGCCATTCAACAGCCTGTGGTCATTGTCATCTGATACTCCTCTTCATGATGCACTACACATTTTAGGTTGCAACATAACAAAATGTGAAAAAAAGGGTTCAGAATACTTTCCGAATGCACTGTTTATGCGAGTTACACAAAGTGTACATAGAAGACAAATAGTCTTAACAATAGTTGGTGGCGTTTGTGAAAACAGACTTTGCCAACAACGATGGCTATTTGCACATTTTGCTTGAAAAATTGTATAATATGAAAATGTATTTATTTGTAAAAAAAATTTTGGTCACTGATTTTGACATACATAATGATGTGATCCTCAGGTCTTACAACATCACCACTCTGTACATGAAATCTCCTACATTGCCAAAGACACAAGGGACCATCGCGCGTTCGGCTACGTGTGTGGGAAAAAAGGCAACCACAAATTTGTGGCAATCAAGACCAGCTATTCGGTTAGTGTTCATAGCTCTTAATATTCCTAAATTCAAACTGTTCTCATGCCAGTTAAAAGCTATAACCTCAGTTATCCTCTCGTAGGCGGAGCCAGTTATACTGGACCTGCGTGACCTTTTCACCCTCGTCTATGACATCAAACAGAGGGAGGAGTCACAGGAAAAGGCTCAGAAGGACAAGCACTGTGAACAAGCCGTCTATCAGGTGAGATCCAGCAAGAGTTTCTCCAGAAAATAACTGGCCAATGACTCTTTAGGGTAAAATTCTGCGTGCATTTCTACTGTCCATATCTATCATGCCAGACAGGGTTGCCAGACAAAGCATATAAATCTCACTTCCGGGGAAAGAGTTAAAAAAAATCACAATTGCCAAGTACGCTGGCTATGACATAGTTTTAGTTAAGGACAGTCTGTTTTACAAAGTCACACTGAACTTACACTGGACGTCCCGTGCCAAAGAATGCATCTCTATGGAATATGCCAAAGGTATGATGAAATATTTGTTCACATTTGAGGGCTAGTTCATTGGTCGTAGTTAGTTGATTATTTCTCTGTATTGTTACTGTTTGTCACCGGTTGCAGTTCTGGCTGTTCTAACTTACCGTAAATTATAAATAGTTTACTATAAATATCTGTTAAACAGGTCGCAATGAGTGTGTATTGGTATCATGGTAACATGGCTGTCTGTATTCATGGTAAAATTGTGTATCTAACACATTTATAATTGGTGGTCTAAAATGTATTTACATTATGGATATCAAATCAAATTTTTGAATATGTTAGCCTATGGAATTTTCCTTATGTAGTAGTATTATTCAGTGCTCTGCCATCTGTTGCTCAGTAGCTTTTAGTTTCATAGGTTTGTTGACGCACTGCAAATACGTCAATGGGATACTTCACAATACGTCATCGCCACCTTTTCTGTTTTCAAACGTATGAGTGGTTCATTTCTGATGGTTCTCGGATTCATGTTTCTTTTGGTTTTCTCTCATTTTGTCTTTAACATTTTTCTTAATGGCTGACACAGACGATTCTGGAAGATGAAACTGATGATCCGGTGTATCAGGTGAGAGTTTGTCAATCTCATTTACCACAAGCTTAACCTGATTTTATGAAGAACTGACATTCTATATTTGATTTAACTCCTCCATTTAAGTGTTGAGGATATTTTTTGCAGTCGATGCTCACAGAATTCTGTTAAGCATTCAGTCATTGCCAGTGTGTTGATCTGGAGTCATGTTTTGTGGTTCTGTCTATATGTTCTGTGGAGAGTCATAAACAGCCCTACTGTACCAGATGTACTCTGATATGCTGAACTCAGTGCTCTCTCGCTCACACTGAATACAGACAACTTTAACCATCAGTTTCACACAAATAGATTTATCTCCAACCAGAATCCCTAAGATAGAGGCTCTCAAAAAACCTTGGTTTAGTTAAGCTTTGAAGCACCAGTTTGTCATGGAAAAAAAAAAGTCCAGTGTTTTTACCTGTTGAGATGACATTTTGTTGCTCAGTTTTTGCTCATTCATAGCTCAGGAGATGAACGCTAACCATGCACCATATGACTTTCAAAGTGGGATTGCTGTTCATTTCACACTTAGACAACAGTCTGTCATTGCAAGGTCAATTCCAGCCAAAACACGTTTCACACAGCAGGACTTGGATCTCAGACAGGTCTAGATATTTAACCTGCTAACGTCTCTCGTGCATAAGCGATGCATTGGCGCTTCTCACAGATCGCATCTGTAAAAATACACACTTAGTTACTCGTGTGGACGGGCCATGATTTGCCTTCAGTTTGAGGCTTTTGTCTCCATTAACTGTTAGTGATCAGGGCTTAAATTGTGTGTGGGCAGCATTAATGAAGTCCGCAGTTGTGTATCAACTACTCATATATACACTACTGTTCAAAAGTTTGGGATCAGTAAGATTTTTAATGTTTGTTAAAAAGGGTTTAGTGCTTATCAAGGCTGCATTTATTTGATAAAAATACAGTAAAAACAGTAGTATTGTGAAATATTTTTAAAAAATTTAAATGCTGTATTTTCAGCATCATTACTGCAGTCTTCAGTGTCACATGATCCTTCAGAAATCATTCTGATATGCTGATTTATTATCAATGTTAAAACAGTTGTGCTGCTTAAGTTTTTGGAACCTGTGATAGTTTTTTTAAGGATTCTTTGATAAATAAAAGGATAAAAAGAACAGTATTGACTAAAAATAGAAATCAGAATATAAGTCTTACTATTACTTTTTTAAAAATCAATTTAACATATTCTTGCTGAATAAAAGTATTAATTTCTTTCAAAAAAAAAGTAGACCCCAAACTTTTAAACGGTAGTGTATATTGTCAAAAAATATTTAAATTTTGAATAAATCATGTTTTTTTATTATTTAGAAGTATTAAAGTAGAAAACGTTATTTTAAATTGTAATGATATTTCTCAATGTTACTGATTTTACTGTATTTTTTATCAAATAAATACAGCAAAAAAAATAATCTTACTGACCCCAAACCTTTGAACGGCAGTATATTTGCACATAGATTTCTCCCAAAATCTGTAGAAATAAAACTGTACATAAATGGGATACTAGTAATACATTAAGAGTGTAGAGATAAAAAAAAAAAAATGTTGAAAATCATATCTCTGATCATTTGATTTTAGGAAATATTGATTTATATTGAGACTTTTGATTTGCAGACTTTGGCATCTCTTCTGAAATTGGATACTTTTGTGAGATAACTGAGGTCTTTTTTTTGTGAGAAGCACCAGACCTAAGAGTAAAAATTTGCTTGCCACTTAATCAACTAACAACCGAGAAATGAATGCGATACCATTGCTGATTTTCTATCCTGTGGAAACAAAAAGGGTCAATCTAGAGTTCTCACTGTTCTGGATAAAGATACACAATATTCAGCAATATTCAGCCTTTCTCATTTTCTTTCCTAACTCCTTGTAGTACATTGTGTTTGAAGCCGGACACGAGCCGCTCCGTGGCCACCAATCAGAGGAGAGCATTTACCAGGTACTTCCTCGAGCCACGCCCCTCTTCGCCCACACAGAAAGCGGAATCTAAAAATAGTTTTCCTATAATATTATCTCCCCAGATTAAACATTTAAAATGTGCAGTAATCTGTGAGCTTAAAAATACAGTACTCGATTTAAATACCTACAATATGCAGTGCACATATAATGAAACATTACTGAAGCATAGTAGGAGTCTCATGTTGTTAACTTGCTATAATTTTTAGGTCCCCACAAGTCATCAGAAAGACGGGATCTATGACGTTCCAAAACACCATCTTATGAGTGTAGGTTCTCTCATGTCTCAAACATTCGCTCAACCTTCCCGTCTCTTTTCTCCTTCAAACAAACCTCTCAATGTTCTTCCCCCTTCTTGATTTAGAAAATGTAACGTTTTTTTAATCCTATAGCAAATCGATCAGTGTACTGAAAATATTTCTTTGTTGTTGTTCATGTTACAAATCATTCAGTATTATTTAAGGCAGTGATATTATATAAGGGAAACAGATGAGGGGAACATCACACAGAGGTTTGTTTTGAGGCTTCACCTCTAGTATGGATGTACTGCATGGGTTTAGAAAATGTTAATGTGACACTTGCAATGCATCAAAAAACGAGGATTTCTAATAGTTTTTTTTTAACCAAAAGAAATAAGGATTGGCTTTAAAAGACACTGTTATGATATGTTATTAAATTTTGAGAAAGAGTGATGTCTACCTAAAATTTCCAGAGCCTATTATTTATAAAAACCTTACTAAAGAAAATAAAACATTGAAGATCGGCATGCATTGCAAAACCCCAGACAGATCTATAGAAGTCAAAACAAAGCATTGCTTTGACCAGAATGAATCCATGTTAAATTATTGTTATTAATCCATTTCACAGAGTGTTATTGCTTGTCTGTTAATTCAGTCGGAGCCTATCGAGTGCTTGGAGTTTTACTCACATAAATATCAGTCTCTCTGCTGCAATGTTTGCTCACACGTGCCAAACATTGATTTTGCTTGATTCTATGCACACCTGCGTCTTCTGGTGTGATTTGCTAGCTTTTCTATAGAACATGACTGTTGTGTTGGCTTTGTTTTTTGTTTTGCATACACATTGGTTTCTGGTTAAAAGGTCATATATTTTAGTTATCATCCACCTCGTTGCTTGCACCTTTTGTTTTGTTTTATTAATGTTTGTTGCCTGATTCCCTTCACTTGTTAGTGTCATTGATATGTCATTATAGATAGATCAATAACTATTCCACTGAAAAAAGTAATTAGTGATCTTTTTCAGATACTCTGTGTTGAGGAATGCTTTCCAGTACAGCATTACAGTATACTGTATCTTCTTTATCTTCCTCCCTGGCTGTCTTGCAGAATATAAACCAGTTTGATATTTTCGGTGACATGGCAACCCCCCCAGACATCCTTTCTGTAAGTAAACCTCAAGATGAACAATCACCCATGTGGTTAGTCTCAATTTTAATGCAAACCGATTCCAATATTGGCTGCTGATTTTTATTTTATTTATTTATTTAAAAAAAAAAATTATTAGTTGTTTGTTTGCTCTTACAGGCCGAACTGGCCTTAAACTAAAAATATCTACAGCCATTTGAAATTAGAAGCAACCGCTGCATTTTAATCACAATCCAAACAAAGATGCTACACCCATTTTAATTGTTATTTTGATTTAAATTAGATGGTATTATTTCAAGAATTAAAGCAAAAACAGAATAGTCTGACTTTAGCGTTGTGAAATTACATAAGACAGACCTGCACATAAAAAAGAAAGAAAGTTTTATTATTTATTATTGATATTATTAATATCAAATAAAATAAAATGAAAAACCAATTGCGTGTGTTTAAAGCAAAAACCGTCCGGTGCCAATTTATGTCTGGTCAAACGGTGCATCTATAAATTTTATTATGATACCATAATGTAAATTATTCGTAGACTCATACATCCAAAATTACATCAATGTCATCACAGATGCCATCGTCGCCTGCTACCGCACTGGATCCTGGAAGAAGGCGACGTCAGCACCGCCCAGAACTCTTCACCCATTTTAGCCCACCGGCTATGCCCTCAGGTAACAAGTCAAGTCAAATCAAGTCAAGTCACCTTTATTTATATAGCACTTCATACAATACATATTGTGTCAAATCAGCTTTACAGTGTTAAACAGGAAAAATTTGTGCTGATAATGCAAAAGGACAATAGAAAACAGTCAGTTTATCAGTTAAAGTCAGTTCATTGTTGATTCAGTGATGTCATCGTTCAGCTCAGTTCAGTTCTCTTCCAATAGTGTCTGTGCAATCAAGTCAACAATATTGCCAGCAATTGTGTCCCCAATTAAGCAAGCCAAAGGCAACAGTGGCAAGGAACCAAAACTCCATCGGTGACAGAAATGGAGAAAAAACCTTGGGAGAAACCAGGCTCAGTTGGGGGGCCAGTTCTCCTCTGGCCAGACAAAACCAGCATTGTGTGGTTTAATTCCAGGCTGCAACGCAAGTCAGATTGAGCAGAGGACTCGTCTGGTTCTCGTGGTCTTGTGCCGATGGCCGACGAGGTCTTCACAGGGGATCTGTCTCTAGGGTTCGTCTAGTTGACATGGTCTCCGCTGACATTCGGGGCTGTAGAGGTCATCTCTAGATGCTGATCCACCATCTGGACTGGACACGGACTGGATCCAGGTGACTGCAGTGACCATCTGATCTGGATACAGACTGGATCTGGGTGGCTATGGTGACCTCGGAATAAGAATGAGACAGACTAATATTAGTGTAGATGCCATTCTTCTTAAGATGTAACAAGTACATTGGGTGTTAGGGGAAGTGTTCCCCGTTCCTGTTGACCTAATTAATGCAGCCTAACAATCCTTTAACAGATTTGAATTATAGAAAAGTGATTGTGTGTTATGTGTATGTCAGGTTAAAGAGATGGGTCTTTAATCTAGATTTAAACTAACAGAGTGTGTATGCCTCCCGAACAATACTAGGTAGATTGTTCCAGTGTTTGGGCGCTAAATAGGAAAAGGATCTGCTGCCCACAGTTGATTTTAATATTCTAGGTATTATCAAATGGCCAGAGTTTTGAGATCGCAGCGGACGTGAAGGACTGT